AAAATGTTCGAACACGAGGGAATTGCGACGTAAATATTCAGAAGAATAAAAGATAAGATGTGATCAGGACATAAGTAATTCCCGAATTTAGGGAGGCTATGTAAAAAACACATCCGAAAATATGCCTAAATCCTGGACAGGTCTCATCCGGAATTTTTCTCTACGGAAGATGCACTGTAAGGAATTAGAGTATGTTTGAGCCCGAAATATCCGCTTTAATCGCCTCAGGCTAGATCAGTCATGTACAAAATGATTTAGTCGTGTCATACTTACATGTATTCACCCATTTTAAGAGGTTTGGATAGCCTGGGCGCAACAGCTAATGAAGTTTCGCTTTCATAATTCCCGCAAACACCTAACTACAGGATGAGTAATTGGAATACATGCTAAGAAAGAAGGCTTACATCAATCTTGGAAGGTCCGACAAAGGAGCTGCAGCAAGCCCTTGAATTAAGGCCCGTGTTTGTGGTCATTATATGAGGAGAGTACATAGCGAATAAGTAAAGAAGAATTAATGGAAGGGGGGGGGGAAAGTCTTGCAGAGATTCTTCGACAGATTCATAGCGGATAGAAGAACCCAACTGATAGATTAAGTTGGCTTTGGTGTTGGGCCTTCAAAGAATAGGGAATGGGGACCACAACCAGTTTGCCTATTCTTTTCCAACGTTTTTTTTTGGCGTTGTACCAATTTTCCGAGAAGAACTCTGACCGGAAGTAGGATGCGTGGCGCATCCTAAAATGAATGATCAACCCAAAAAGCTTTATCTCCTAACAAAAGAGGAAAACGAGTCAGGTAGCTATTGATGGGGCATGAATGGAGATCCGATTGGGCTATTACAGACAAGGTTCCAGAGTTTCAATTCCGTCCACTTTCTTGAGCACCGATACAATCCCTTCAGAAAAACTTCCCACGAACAGTTCGCTTTCTCCACCGCGACGACGCAACAGCAACGCAATTCAATTTGATTGAAGCCCACACACGGGGGAATACCTTTGAAGCTGAAGGGGAATTCCCGTGCGCGCGTTTCACTCGCTCAAAAGAACCCTGCCGGTCTCTACCGTACGAGCGAGCCGACAACAAAGCCGATACAGACAGACAACAGCTCAAAAGAATTGCGTCGAAAAGCGCGATGATGTCCGTGGTGGGTACGAAACCACGTAAGTAGAAGCCTAGAAAGAACGATGACAATGAGCCTTCAATGGAAGAACCGTCGCAAACCGAGTGAACCGCTGAATAGGCAGTCCCATCGAAGTCGCACTATTGCTGACACACATTAGTTTGGGGCGGAATTAATTTTGGAAATCCGGTTTTCCTCAGCGCACAAATTAATTAACCTTTACGACCGTCGACAACTGGTATTACCCCCTTTGAAATCGGCAGTAGTCAACAGTCCTATGACTAAGGGAAGAGGTTTTTTCCTAAATGACAAACATCTATGAATCGCTTGGGCACAATAACAAAACCTTTCAGTGTCTGTGAAAAATTAATATCATCATTTTGAGTCTTCGGAAAGAATTAAGACCGATTGAGAAAGTTCCAGAAACCACGAAAACCCTTACTAGCTGGTAGGAATCACGGCTATTCTATAGGACAGTGCAGGAGGTATCCGAGCGCTGGTCAGAATCGCTGGGTTAGGTCCCCGGGTAGAGAGGGTCTGACATGAGCCCCTTTGCACGAAACACCACTTCCGAATAAGGATAACCTTACCGACAGCGTCGACCAATACTTACTCTGCGAGAGGAGCTGTAGCCCTCGTCAAGGGCTCTACCGGGACATGGCGCAACCTAAGGTCAACTGGGCAAACGAGAAGGAAAACGCAGTCCACAGTATTCCAAAAAGCTCCAGATGGCCGCTGAGGTGGGATTCTGACCGATCCCGCGATGGCGAAGCCGGAGGTGAATAAGAGTTGGTTGGTGAACGATCGATACTCGAGGCTGTGCCCCGATGGGGCGTGACGAATTCGAAAAGTATAACGTGGTGACGGGGCCTTCGGTGAACTAAATCATTAATTACAGAACCTGTATGGTCGCCGGCCACCCCGTCATCATGTGCGAGCGCGCGGCAATTTCAATTACGCACATGGGAGACGCACCCCTCCATGGCCACGACGCGATGATGGACGGCGGCGGCTACGGCGAATACGGCGGATCAAGCGACAATTTAGAGGTTCCTTATGAGCCGAACAGACTGAACCATTTGATTGAATCTCCTCATAAAAACTTGTAATGGAGAACGCAGAATTGTAGGGTTAGGCCATTTTAAGAGAGCTATACCCATCAGTACCACCCCAACAAGGTTTGCTGACCGCCTGAGCACCAGCATTTCCTTGAACATTGGCTTTCTCCGCATCCCCTCTCTGAGACTTCGGGCAAAATCTACTGCTATTCTTTTACCAACGGCTTGACACCCGCTTGTGTAGCAGAGGAGATAAGTACGGACTCCAGAAATTGCAGTCTACCAAGCACAGGTGGAGTTTTACCGGAGGGTTTTTGAAATGTTCAGGAGATGAGCTCTTCCCTCAACCTCGAATGCCCTGATATAAGGTGAACTCAAACACACCTAGTTATTTTTTATTGTCTTCCGACAGGGTCGGTCCTAACGTTGGGACTTTTCGGAAATTTTTTACGACCTTCCTCTTCCATTCAAAAATTTCACGACCCCCCTTAACTACCTCGCAGTGGTCGCTGTTTATATAGTATTTAATTCTAAGACCACTCAGCATACCTAACTCCAACCACTTTTCCCTCCAAAACAGCTGTCGAGCGGGAGGAGGGGGGAGGGGGTTCGAAGTTCTGCTTTTCTCATCAATGGCCGACTTAAGCTGGTAATCGAAGACTTGTCTACGCTGATTGTATAGCTTTGAAGTAACGAAAATACCCCAATTTTTGAAGTATGACGAGGATTATTAAAAGCCGTACGAACAAAGAAAAATGAAAACAGCATCGCAGGAAAGCTAGTGAGTCGGTCTAAGGCTCTTGCAATTTCCGAGTCACATTCAAAGCAAAAGAGCGACGCAGAATTTCATTTCACTGAAAGTGGGCTAATGATAAGCCTGGAAATTAGTTCCCGATTTTTAGATCGGTTTTGATTCCACCTTCCAAAAGAAGTTCTGATATTTACTATTGTGAAGAAGCCGGGGTAACGACTGAGAAATACAAACCTAATTGCATGATATAAAATAAAGAACTACGAATGAGGAAGATGCCACCTCAACGATCATTAAGCAGGTAAAAACGAATAGTAAAAGGAAAAAACGTGAGTACCAAATCAGGAGATGGGGAAGAAGCTACCGGAAATCGGAACGCAAACCAAAACCGTTCGGAAATTCTATTATGGGTACTATACCATTATCTGGATCAAATTAATTATTTTGTGCATTTCCCGTATTTGCAGACTTCGGTCAACGTGAGGAAAATGTGTACAAAATAAAAACTCCATCCAAAGTGGGTTCAAGACCGGATAGGTCCATATAAGCCGAAATGGATTCAAATCTATTGGGGGCATTAATTCATTTCAACATGAATTCTATGAACATTAAAAGCCAGCGTACAGGTTATTCGCGGGGAGTCTAGAAACGCTCTCTTTGGGCAGATCTTTTACGGCCTCGTTAGATAAAACAAAAAGAGTCAACATGAGTTCAACGAATGTTTCAAAAGTACATTTCGATCATAAACTGTAATCAATGATAAACATGTTACTAGCAAGGTATTCGCCTTTAGGAGGCGTGTGGTATAAATAACATTGATTGTCCATTGGAGAAAACTGAAGGCTGTTTTGATATTCACTTGCGGTTTTTTGATTCCCGAATAATTTAGATTCCTGCATAAATTACTTTTAAGGACTTATTAAAGGCGTACGGGTGAGGTACAGCAAAAAGCAAAAAAGTAGCGCCTAAAAAATGATGGACATACTCAAGCTGTACAAGTAAGTTACAGCTCAAAATCAAGAGGTCGAAGATAAGAATGATAAGGTTGGAACAAAACGTGGTACATGAATCCACCCGCCGCACCTAAAGTTGGCTATTGAAACTGGCACTCGTGTAGTGATCACAATCACCGGATAGGTCCATTAGCAAAAAGGGGTTCAAATCCTATATGGGGCATTAATACCATTTGCAAACATGAATACTTGTAACATGTAAGCAGCAGCGCTACACCAGAGTTATTCGCAGGAAAGTCCTAAAAAAACATTTCACCTGCAAAATCTTTTCACCGTTGTCCTCCCGTTAGCCACAAAGTATCAACATGATTTCAATGAAATTCCAAATTACATTTTTGATAACAAAACCTGTACACATTTTGATCATACCACTGTAATCAATGATAAGATCAAATTACAGAAAGATACTCGGCTTTCAGATTTCCGTGGTACCGGAATTAACATTGGATTGATCACTCTGAGAAAATTTGAACGCTTAGAATACCGCTCACTGGTTTTTTTGATTTCCGAATAATTCAGATTTCTTGTCCTTGCCTAAATTACTTTTAAGGACTTATTAAGGGTACCGGTGAGGTACAGCAAAAAGCAAAAAAGTATCCGCAACAAATGATGACATACTTCAAGCTGTATACGTACAGCTCAAAAAAATCAAAGTCGAAGATAAGGATCGATAAGGTGACAAAAAAAGGCGTTTATCATTATTCAAGAGAAAAGGGAAATTTGCCGAATATTAGGCTGTTAGAGCATCACAAAAGTGGTCATAATTATTGAAACAATTGAATGAAAAAGACACCTGGGCCAGCGTAGGTATTGAGCTCCACAAAATCATCACAAATTGGCCTCACAAGCCCAAACATGGCCTAAGTGCAATTTTAGTAGCCCTGTAGCGCCCCCACACCCATCTATCTGCTCCTTATCACCAAGTCACGCGATTGTTATTGTTACAACGACCGGCGACAGCCGTTAACACTTCTCTCGGCGAATAGATGATGACCGTAATGAACGGCGATACTGTAGTTAATTGCATCGTCGTCACCACGACCACTCCTCTATCGATTTCTTATCGATCCGTTAATAGGCTTACCTGGCTGCTTAGATCGACAGATCCCTGAGCTTCAAGCTGTTTCTTGGCCCTGTGCAGATGCCGTACCGAGTTGATATGGGTGATGAGCGCCGTTCGTGACGTGAACGTCTCCGCACACAAATCACATCGGGCTGTTTCGTCGTCTTGCGGATGATCACTTTCCATGTGGCTCTGCAACAAATTGACTGATCACTGAATTTTTTCTAGAAAAATATTTGCCGTATCCCCGGGTCTCCTTTTTAGGGACAGAACCCTCACCGTTTTGGAATCTGTTTTTCAAATAATCGTGATGTATGTAAGTAGCCATATGGGCACAATAAAGCACCACTCAAAGCTCTCGGAAGCTTATCTATACGAACCAATCGATCAAGGGATCAGGGGGGGGGGGTAAAAAATTACAACAACAGGTACGATCATGGCCAAACTGCCACGACTTCATAGAATCTCATGCAATTTAGGGTCAAAAAGTAAAGGAGCCAGGATACTAAGCTGAATACTGTATAAAAAAAGATGGTGCAATTACACAACTGTACAGATCCACGGTTACTGTAGCCTAGAGGTGGTTGAAAACACAAAGGAAGGAAACATCACAAGGAGAGCTATATAAAGACTATCGCAGAGAGTTCACCGGCTATAAAAAATCGTGGCCCTTCCGAAAGGGGGCGGAACAATTTAACCCTTTCGGCCCTGGCGGTGGCAATTGCCACCACCAAATTCAAACGCTTGCATTGCCGCTGAAACAGCATGGTTTTTCTAATCCTGCTAGAGTTGCTTCAGTCAACCTTCCCCTTCCTAATTATGAGCTAAACCTGCCATTTCATTGTGTGTTGCTGTTAGTATTACAAGTATTTGTGTACAAGTGCAACAATGAATGGGCGCTGACCCCCGCAACCGGCCAAGTAAGTGTGACTTTTCTTAAAATACTTGAAGTAGATCCATTCCTAAATCAAAATTATGGGTTATAATGTTATGCAAGATTATAAACTTTTTCGGCATAACTATGAAATTTCGAATTGTTTCGACATAAGCTTAAAAACTAAGAAGGTGGGCCAATTTTCAAAGCTTCTTAGTTTCTTTGTTTGTGATCGAATAGCTTCCAAATTTTGCCATAATGATACCTATATGCTCACGAAGTAAGTAATAAACAATTGCTAGAAGAAAGAATTCTCCACGGGGAAAAATTCAGGTCCGAAAGGGTTAAACCGTAGCTTTTTCGTCTAAAAAGGTTCTTCACAAATCTCCTTGCTTAGGAGCTTTCTGCTTCCAAACAGTTTATTCTACCTATGCCCACGGTTTGAGAACATTTGGCGTGCACTAATCCAGAGGGTTTGAATCGCGCCCAGTCAGGCTTGTGGGCTACCGAAAGGGTCAAAAATTTTTTCTTATGCTAAAGTCATTTAGCCTTGGCCACGATCTGGCCATACGAAGCCGAATCGGAACAACTGCACTCAAAAATCTAAATCTCATTTTCACTACACTTCTCTGAGTCCAGTAGCACATTCACAGCAGTCTCCAGAGAGAAATAGGGTTCGGAAATCGGAAATTGGAAGCACGGCAAGGCTAATCGAGATAATAGAAAGAGTTCCTAAACGACTGTTTCGACTGGTGCTCATGATTTACGACGCCCCCTGATGCATCTAGTCCATAGGGTCTCTTTCGAAGTTGGAAATGGGGTTAGGGGCAGGTCGCACTGATCGTGAGCTCTGTCATCCCAGGCTCTGACAAAGGTGTGGTCGAAATGTTAGCCGAATAAAATTCCTGCATCGTCGTGACCGTAGGGATACAAAAACAATGGTTAGGAATCCTTAGAACTTTGGTGCTAAGTGAATTGGGGGAGAGGAGGGACTCACGCGACGGCGTCGGCATCTGCTAACGGATATCACTAACCTATAAGTCTGGAAAGGAGCTCAAGTGTGCCAAAGTTAGATTCTACGAAATCACAAATATCAATTTTTGACTTGTTTTTGTTGTTGTCACTGCTGCTGTTTTTTGCCCGGTAGCGTAACTGGTAGCGCACTTGCCCGGAAAGCGAGAGGTGCGGGTTCTAGTCCCGCCTGGGGCGAAAGTTTTGTTCACAACCCAGCATTCTTGTGAAACAAATCTCAATGTTCATAGCCTAGCCACTCCTTCCTAGGCTGAGTCTTTGATCTATCGCGCTTGAGAGACCGCGCCGAGGCGTGGTCCTTCCCCCTCCCAACTCACCTAGTACCTGAACTTTTTCTTGATTTTAGCCCTACTGAAATGGAAGCCACTTTTTCAAGGCAGAGTGATAAGCCCACTGATGTCTGCTCACCTTCAGCTCATCATCGTTAGCGCACATCTTTTGACAAAGTGAACATCGTTGGGTTGGCGCAAACAGGTGTAAAATCGAGTGCGATCGGAGCGCGTTTTCCGTACGAAACGCCATTGTGCATTGAGCGCAACGATAGGTGAAGTTGCCCGAGCTGAAATCAATCATTTCTACAGACAGTACGTGAGAAACGAAAAAACATTGAACGCAAATATTTAAGCAGTTCTGTTCTGATGTAGCAGTGTGTTGCTAAGAAATCGGATCCGCCGCTCGACAAAAGCTACGATTCCTCCTGAGAGGACATTGACGGAAGTTCTTTTTGCACTACAGGACTGCGAAACTACAGCTAATTCACTTAGCTGAGGTTTCTGGGAGTAACAAGTTACCTTCAATATTACCAGTTTGTACGTCAGAAAAGTTTTACCGCCGCGAACCCGAATATTTTGCAATGAATATTGCAATTATTAGGTCTAACATTCAATTAAATTAAATTAAGCTTTTGTTTTTTGCATTTAAAATTCTTTCATATTACTTTACCAGAAGATTCTTCTGTGCTTCAATATCACCGGTTTTTACTCACAAGGGTTTCACCGCCACAAATCCGAACATTTTCAAATGAAATTACTAAGTTCAATATGTAAGTAAATTGAAAAGGCCATTATTTTTCCGCATTCAAAAGTCTTTCATTACTAAATTAAGCAGAAGATTCTTTTGTTTGGCAGACTAATTTTGCTCGAATTTGCTAGACCGAGGATCCCAAACGCTCAGACACCATAAATCGCTTTAGATAGATCAAAATAGACAGGTAGGCTCCTAGGACGAAAAAAGGGGTAGTTCGTAGCAACGATGGCTATAAAAAGCCAGACGCATTCCCGAGGAGAAAAAAATTCCCGTTCATGAGTAAATTCGGGGATCCGTGGCCTTTTAATCACTCATTTTCCAAAATCTGAAAAGGGGTTTTACGAGGAACAGTTCAGCGCACATGAACTTGTATGATAGTTTTGCTAGGAGAGCTGAATTCCCAAGGGGAGCTATCGTTCCAGGCTAGTCGAATCCTGTCGCCCTCTGGCGAGTCCAGCGCGACTACAACCCATCTGACGTATACTGCTCAAGAAACCTAGCTACTCCCTAAAGAACACCGTGACGATCATAGCTCATGTATCCAGTAGTAAGGGCTAGATATTCTACGTGCGTAGAGTATGAAGAAGACTACCATGAAAGATATATGGTATTCCCATAAAAAATGAACAAACGGGTCGCTTACGGTCTGAAAGATGAGATTTTTGTGCGAATAGGTTAAAGGTCAAAAATTCGCGTCCGTTAAACAATCTTTCAGGGGTACTGTAACTTCTAGGAGCTCCTAAACCACTAATGGACAGTTCCGAATGCTTGACATCGACTTCGACAAGCGTGATCCCTTTACTGCCCATTAATCGCAGAGTGTAACTCTGCCCTGGCATATTACGGATTTCTCGATTCTGGTCTCGTCTCTAGACGGTCAGAGGGACCAATCTTAGGTACCAGGTATTTGGGTGGCAATACATTCATAACCGTGCTTAAAGCATCCTTTTTGTTGATCCCGGGGCTGAGCCTTAGGCAGAGGAGGAAAGACAACAGGGTGCGTGAGCAATATCATTCCCTCCAATATCGTGCCCACTTTGGGCTTAGTTCTAGATTATGCCCCCGTATCTTGTGATAGCGCCGACCAAGGCCCGAGCTGATGACCGGTCGTCTCTGATGGTCAGTTCAGATCCAAAATCACTGAGCGTCAGCCCTCATGAGTCCCTGATGTCGGATTTTCAATGACGATCGTCCACGATGAGCTGAATTAAAGTCAGCACGCCAAGCGAGTTGACGACGATGGAGCGTTCCGTCAGAGGCGCGGCGCACCAGCGCCCTTCCATTGTCAATCATTACAATAATGGGAAAATGAGCGTCGAACACAGAGCGACGGAATAGAAATGTAAATAGACGGACGTGAGCCGGCCCGAGAGACAGCAGCCCCCTCGACGCCATGGTTTGAGGTGTGATTACGGTAGACGATCGTCGACGACGACGACGTTGTCGTCGATGAAGAGGTGGAGGAGGAGATGATGAGATGACGACGTGACGTCACCCAATGAGGCTGACCGTCAGCAATGAGCCGTTGAAAAAGTCAATAGAGATTGATGATTTCAGAGGATTGAAAGAACACGGCGGCAATACCCAAAAACCAGATTATACAGTACCATTTTATGAGGAGAAATAAATGAAGAATCCCAGCTATTCAATACAAAAAGTGCTTATTGATCAAAGCAAATATTCGCGAAAATGAGCAGCAAGGCTACTTTTACCAAACTGCCAACACCAAGGTGATCTAGTGAAATTGATTAATTGAAGCAGACTTGACATATTAAAAAATCCTGGAGGTACCCCTCCCCCGCTTCGTGCACCCCTGCTGACCCGCCGAACTCATCCCGGGAGCAGATAGAAAAAGTAAGGTGAAAAAGGGAGCTACGGAAGGTAAGGCTATATAAAGAACTAGTGATTGAGCTCCAGCTCAGATGATCGATCGATCGAAAGTCTTCCCAAATAGGAACTTGGCTTCAAGCAATTATTGATCGATTAGGTTGAGTTTTCAAGCACTGATCAGTTTTTGTGGAGCAGCTCATATCAATAATCAAATAACATTCAAAAATTTGGCAGTCAGCTTCTGGTGGGTCAAAGGGTTACCATAGTCGCCGGAGAATAATCGATTCATTACTAATCAATCAAATAAGTCGATAAACGGTAAAGGTTAGCATCGGTGCAGATCCCGCAGAATAATGCTATCAAAAAATCAATAAAAATCGATTAATCACAAGACAATCAAACTGACTTTGATGTTTCGGGTCGATGCACGGCAAGCAATCGTTCGACGGCCGACTCGGCAATTTTGTGCTCCTGCAAGAGGCAGTGGAGGAAGTGTGTATGAGCAATGGTTTAAACAACGCATCACATCGAGTTTTAGGCCCGAAGCCGTAAAAAACTACCGTATAACCTATCCAGCCATGAAACGAACCTGAATCAGGTGTTCAGTGAGTTTCAGTGTTCGATCCGAGCACAACGGACACTGTTCACCTTCTTCATGCGAACGCGCATGCTCTTCCAACATCGGCGCGTCTTCTGAAAAAATTCATCGACTTCGTGACGTCACTTTTCTTATAGAAGTTTCAGAATGCGACAATTTTTAGGTACCGTACATTTGTGCCTTCGAAAAAATCAATAAATTTTATCACATCAAAAATGCAACGATTTTCCATACAGGTTCCTTACTCATTACATATGCAGCCTACCTATCCATGTTTCATATTTCTTATTCATTTTTATTTTTTTTACATAGTTCAATTTTTCACTTCGCTGGTTTTCATCGCAGATATCCGGTGGAAAACAGATGAAAATATTTAAATTGAAAATGACGTTAAACTCAAAAAAACCGCCTTCAACAAAACCAAAACGGTAATGTATAGTGGTCAACAACGCATTGAATAGTGGAACGAATCGCTTATTCATATTGCCGTTCGTAATTGTGAATCGATCGATATTTTATTGAACGATCAATAAAATACCATGAAAACATAGAACGTATAAAGTTCATTAGCTGTCTCAAATGTCAATAGGTTTGTGCTAATAAAAAATATTTTCTATAAGTTAATCCACCCTTTATAATGCCAGATCAATCAATAAACCATTCAAGAGGCTAAAACGCAAAGGCAGAACTTTCTTCAGGAAATTCCCCGTTTCAAACGGAAAGCCGAAGACTTTGTAGGCGTGGCGTTTCCCGTTTGGGTGTCAAGAACACTTTACGAGGAAAGGAAAGCGGTGTGTTTTTTTATAGTACGATGTACTAAAAACCATCCAAAAGCGGCGTAATCTAAGCCTGCGCGTACCATGGAAGTGATAAAGGGATAAGGCCTTTAATCACATCGCGCCAATAACGTTCAAGGTGTCAATTTATCAAACGTGAGACGGCAAGATCAAACACATACCGACGCTAGCCGGCTGGCTGGCTGGCTGGCTGGGGCACTTCTAAGGGGGTGTGGTCGAGAGGTGAGGCTCTAGCAGGCAGAGCTCTCTTCATCAACCGTTTGATACAAGGTCAGATTGCATGGATGAGCGTATTGGATGTTGCCACTTTCAGCCCGATTGGTAGCCTTCAGGCTACAAACAGATGTCTTAAAAGAGGGCAAGCAGGTGGGAGACTTAAGATGGTTTTTCTTCCGAAAAGAGGGGGACACTCATCGAACGGAAACTTTGTGGGGAAATTTCTCTTACGTTGATACTGCTGTTTATGCCATTCAGAATTCAGGTTCCCACTTTGAAGAAGTACTGCAAGAAGGACTGCCCTGGCGTGAAAGAAGGACTGCCCTGGAGTGAAAGGTACTTGAAAAGGAAAGTTGGATGGTAGAAATGGTTGAAACAGGAAATTTTGTGCATTTGAAAATAATTAACACAGAAAACTTAGTGGAGGAAATCTCTTGAAACAGGAATTTTTCAAATAAAAACTATAATAAATTTGTAATTTATCAGAAACTTTTTCTCAAAAGAGAACATTACCTAATTGATTACAGTGTAATGTGTCAATGAGAACCAATTTTCGCGACAATTTCTAGAACCTCTTGAAAACAAAATAATTAACAATAGGACCATGTTTTTTTCCAATATTCATTTCACCATCTTTTATCACCTTATCTCTTCTATGATCGATAAGCCTCGATTATGAGGGAAAATCTACACTATCGAGATTTCTTTCTGTATCACAGTGAGAAATCTTGCAATAGTAGGGTGCGACACACATGCGCGTCACATTTTCACACGGTCAGTTTCATTTTGATCGACCGATTTCTCGGCTTCAAAACTGTCTGTATAACTTTTTGTATCCAAAAAATAATATACATTACTAGTAACGGAGTTACTGGAGCTGAAGACGATTATATTTTTTATTTATCCTTTATTTAGTTAAGTTGTTGCCAGAAGTGCCGAGAGGAGGGTGTTAGATGTAATTTATTCATCATATCATTATGTATGTATATTTAAAAAATAGCCGAAAAAATGCTGGGATACACGCAAGCGTGCAGGCTGTTGCCAAAGTGTCAAGCTTGTAATCTCGAACAAAAAAATGAAACAGTAAATCTTGGTAGCGACACAGTTCCAAGCCGTTTTGATTACTGAGTAGAAGTCGGAAGCATGGCGCAAGCCAGACGTCACTGACAAGCTGACTCTATGCTCCCAGTATGAGATCTATCGCTAGCGCCTTGCTCGCTTTCTTTAACAGCCGTCCTTCTGAACTTTGACAGTGTATCATTTGCAGTTCGATTTTTTTCCTGAATCGGGTAGCATTTTCCGAGTTGTTTAACCCATCCCTCACCCACATTATCCTGCAGCTGGTCATAGTCGAATGGATCTTCGGCGCTGAGTGCTAGTAGTTGTTGGGGTCGGTTTAACGTGTGAGAACTCTCGCATCAGCACCGGGCATGAGTGTGCAGGTGGTTGACGGAGGGTGGCGGTCATATCAAAGGGGGCCGCGGTCCGCACCGCCGCTCTGCGACCGTCTCAACTGCGCCACCATAACGCACAATATGCTAATTATAATAGTAAAAACGCGCACTAAACCGCGTCAATAACTGAGATAATGAAATGTGAATGGTGGAACGACGAAGCGCCGACGCTCCACCACCACCACCGCCACCACGATAGCGCCGACGCCGACACGGCCACCACGAGCCATCAACGATACCGCCGACGACGAACGGCATCGATTGATTAGTGGAGGTTAGGCGGAAAGGAGTCACCAGCTTTCAGCTGGCTCATGGCAAAGTGCGAAGGGAACGGGGAAACAAGTACTGAGTCTATTGGTCTGCCTGGAAAAAGAGGTACTGGAAATAGAGTGAAGTGCAAAAACAGCTATGATCCTATGCGCTATTTTGCGATCTTGAAGTTACAACTCAACACATTTGAGGCTTAAATTCTAGAGACCCAGTTAGCAGCAGGACAGATGTTAAGGGGCTATAAGACAGATGAGTCAGTGGGAAGGGGATAAAACTTGCCTCCGGTGAGCCTTGAGCCGCAGCAAATTTACCAAGATATTCCTGGGATATGCCAAACCGGGGAAGGAATCAAAAAAGAAGAGGGTTTGTGAAGGATGCCTGAAACGGCTTTCATCAGCGATCGAAGGAAGGATGACCATGTATAAGAAAGACCGTCACGAGAGGACAGCTGAGAATGAGGATCCGTTTTCCCAAGCTAAAACAGCTCAACTTAACCAACGTCTCAAATATAGAGTCGCTAACGAAAACACGCGCAATCTCCACATAATACACTACCACAAAGACGAACGGCTAAGAAACCTAGTGGAGCACGCTACGTGTGAAGTCGTTCCTGCAGCGATGATCTTCCCACGACCCACTGGTAGCGCCTATTGCCCCTAGGCTCCTAGGCAGCTTCACAGAATGTCCCAAAAGTCTAGCACCTTGCGGAATTAAGCGACGAATGGGTAACTATGACCCAAGTAGGATACCTCAGTAGCGTTTTCTCAGTTTTTTTTTGCCCAGATTAGAAGGATTACTTCCAAACCAGAAAACGTTTACTAATTAGAACTACTATCGAAATGTGAAATCCCTAACGATTTCGACCCTATGGAATCATAGTGATGATCTCAAGAACCCTGAATACAATAATATCGATCCTTCGCTCTTTACAATACTCGACGCGCGGCCATGAGAAGCACATCGTTTTCAATTCATTTCCAGCGAACTCAATAAAATCGAATGAAAACAGCCTATCGGGCCTAGCGGTCGACCAACCGTTAAATGGACTGTACGTGGCTTTTTCCGGGCCGTAAATCACCTAATTAGCCGCGGGCCGCGCGGATCATCACGACGTGAATCGCGCCGGTCTCGTGCCTCAGCCGGCGGAGGTGGAATAGTCTGCAATTACACACCAAACTTCCCAGTTCTCAACGCTCATGTGTCCTCTGAAGAACTCTGGGTGTTTGAGAAGGATCACAGCAAGGACCACCTTCTCAGGGGTTGCTGAAGCAACAGCTCTTCGTCTGATCACTGATTTGGTCCTTTAGGGCTCAGATAAGATTAGAAAACGAAGCAGAACAAATCCCCCGAAGATGAAAACCAGTGATCTTTAACGCGAGGGGCTGCCAGACATTTGGTAATTTCTGAACGCGTGTAGCCCCTCGCAACTAATCGTTGCCATCGATACCTAAAGGTATGGCGCCGGCATCTGAGCCCATTGCTTTTTTGTCCTCGTTCTCTGTCCCGCTCCTCGCTCAGAGTTCTTCTGAACCTCGACAAGGGTTGCCTAACATAACACACATTACCCGAAGTGGTGGTAGATTGCACCGTAGCGCCGGCGTAAATCAACGTGCCGCACACGAGCGCAATTAGGCAACGGTGGTGGTGAGTCGCGAGGCAGCGCTACACGGCAGTGTCACTGGCACACAGGGCAAATTACAGCCGGCTGGCTGACTGAAAGCGGCCACCACGGCCGCGAGGAGGGCAAGGGAAGGGCGACGACCACACGACGTCGCGAGGCAGCTGACTGAGCTGAGGTCAGAACCGGAATTCACCTCTCGCGCTATCGCTGACACAAAACCACGACAACATGAATTAGCACAAATTCTACGAATCACCCGAATAGGTATCAGAATGGGAGGCACTGGTGGGAACTGAGAAACCTAGTCAGTCCTGCTCACTTGATGTCCTGCAACGCCTGAGCTGGTATCCCTCAAGACCTGAGGTGGTTAGGGCAAAATTTCAAGCCTGAGCTCACAGGACGAGGCAACCACGGCCGCAAGGAGAGCAAGGGAAAGTCGCTTGAGGAGTTCGATCTAAGACCCTATCCCTTTCGACTTTGAGACGACACAAAAGAAGATGGCCTGATCATGAGTGAGGAGCAGATCCCGTGGGCAAATTAAGCCCGAAGGCGCTGCTGCGCAGGTTTGCAATAATCGATCTTCAAGGAAAAATTGGAGGCAATCGGGATCATTGTATAGCCTACTATCGTTTATAGGCTCACTGACCTTGTCGGACACCTCCCGCGAAGGCTCAGCAAAGGATTATCACGATATCACAACGGATCACCTGGTATCACTAACAGATTTCAAGAAAACCTTCAGAAAAACTAGGTTCGTCATTCTCTGGCTAAATCTAACGCGACGGCTCTATAGTAAATCTTACACTTCATTAGTAC